GTGGCAGGCACGTGTGAACACACTACAACAAATCTGCTTCCTCGAGCACAGCCACCAGAGTCAACGAGTTAGGAAAATGAGAAGGAAAAAAAAAGAGCGCGACACCAAAGCCACTTGCAATTCAAACGTGAAGGCTCTTCAAGGCCCCCAGGATTCGCGTGCACAATTTCGGTGACAAAAAAGCAACACTGATGTTCGCGCAGTGCGCATGCGCGCACCCTCGCGTGTGTTCCGCGTCTGCCGTGTCATCGCGGGCAGCACCTGTCCGAACCTGTGCGCCAGCCTACGTTCGTGGAATAAACCTCGCGTGGAGAAAATGAGTTCGCAACAACTGAAATCGAATGAAGTGCAGGCTGATGGGTCTTGGCCGGCAACACATAAAAATTCGTATCACACTGAAATTCACACCAGCCACGATCGTATCATCAAGGTTTTATTGTGTTTCGTTACACCCAATACTCCCCTTTCCTAAGTAATGTCCAAACCATGGCCCTGAAGGGATAATAAATGTTGATGTATTGAATCAGTTGATCATTTATAAAGTGTACACAATTATATATTTGCAAAGAAAAGTATTTGCATGTATATTCTCAGGGACAGACCATCTTGAACGAGGAAAACGTACACTTTGCTCAGGAAAGAGCAATAGATATTGCAAGAGGCTTGCCATGAAACAATATCAAAAAATAAACTTTGATACATGTGAGAGTCTGTCTGACCTGGTCAGAAAGTGTAGCCAGTGACTCCAGTTTTCCTGAAGTGCTTCGCACATATCCTTTGTTGAGACATACAGGATATATACAGGAGCACAAAAAAGTTGGACATACAGGATAGATACAGGAGCACAAAAAAGTTGGACTTCATCACTGAATGTTGCTTTGGAGATACCATGAAAACCTTTTTTTTTATATGTATGTCAGGTGTCGCTACTGCTGAATCTAGGAACGCCGGATCAGTTTTGAAAAACTTCAATTCTATCACGAATCTCAATCTATGAAGGTTAGTGTTCTTACCGCGACAGCGTATACAACTCGGACACTACCAAATCCACGAACAGTTGCACCAAAAACAATTAATATGTTCATAAATGTTTCTTCTTCAAATTAAAAAGAAGAAAAGGCGATCGTGGTCCCCTAAGCTGAGCTCAAATTGCAGCTGAGGATTGGTACAATTCAGTTGACGTGACTACGACCTTGAGAGTAATAAGAAATGTGAACATACCGGAGCTCTGCCTACAGTTACTTATTCTGTAGAAAACCCTTAGCAGGTGTGTTCTATAATTATTGCGCAAATGCCCCCACTCACCACTAAAAATAATGGAGTAAAGAGATAAACAAATCAAGTAATATATATTCACACAAATTATTAAATGTATAGGCAAATAGTGAATGAGTGAAATGACTATCTTATTAGCAAACAAATACATATAAAAGTTATGTACACAATTTTAAATAAATAAATAAGTAACTAAATAATTAAAAAACCGGCGTGCCGCTCCTGTTGTCCAGACAAATCGAGGCGTAATTACCTTGATGGAGCATATCCTAAATGTAACAATATTAAATAGATCTATAAATAATAAGTCAATCACTTAAGTACAATGATTCATGTGCCTGAGAGTTTCAAATTGCTGATTTAACTTTTGTCACAGCATGGCACCACGGCGGCTACAGGAATGTCATGCCAGGTGGTCAATTAGAACAAGGGATGATGTATATTGTTATTGATGCGGTAGAAGTCCAGTCAAATGGCCCGTAAAAGATGGCTTGGACAAACTGTAAATATCGAATATTAGCTACATTGCGATAAATGTTCACTATCGGGATGGCGATTCGAGATTTTGTAATCCTGGTGCCACATTTACATGCTACTGTTCATGGGAATGCTAGGTTTTTCTGCGAATATCCAAATTTTTCACTCTTTATTATGCTTCATTGTACAGAATGATTTCGTTGCCATTTTTGTTTATTTATAGCTCCACTAGCGGCTGACTTCTGATGCTCCTTATACCTTATCTGTGGCTGCTGAATTATACGGAAGTGAGTAGGAAGGAGCAGGAAAATGCAAGAAACAGCTGTTGCTTCATGCATTTGGCTTTGTGAATCCCCATTCTTATCAATTAGGAGATTGGTAAAATTTCTAAACATAAAAATTTTATCAGAAGAGCAACGCCTAATATAACTGATAAAGCGTTACAGTACAAACAGCTAGCCGCTGCCATAATATAAATAACTGAAGGAAGCCACCACTGCAGTGTTCTCTACTGTATACTAAATCTGTGAGACCTTGATAAAACTGAATACGTGCGTACGCAATACCTGTCAGTTGGTTGTGACTCACTCCCTTTTGTTTTTCAGAAAACGACTTCAGCGGCAAAGAAAATCGCACCCTTTCGCTTCTACTGAAAAATACCTCCTGCTTCTTTCTTGGTAGCTCGATGAACCATATCTTTCTAAGTGACGTCTTAAAGTGCAGACATCACAAATTCAGCCCTTGAAGGACAGCAATTCAAATAAGAACGTAGGTTCTCTTATATGAAGGACTCATTTTGTTATGAAGTGAAACGAGATATTCGTAATTAAGATTAGCTCTACCAGGCACACAAACACAAAAATAATAATGAATAAATATCGCTCAGAATGAATTCGCTCTCCTCGATGAATGTTTACAGTGTGTGTAAGCGAGTATTAGTTGCATCACGTGGGTACAGGCTAAGGCCTCGTTCTAACAGCCGTCAAATGACTCGTCGTGTTATCTAATGTGAAAAAAAAAAAACGTAGCGAATATGTGACGGAGCTGTGTATGGACAGACGACGGTGATTGCAAGGCCGACAGGAGCATATTTTTGTACGCGATAACTCCTTTCTCCATGATACCGCAAACACCCAGTCGTTCTATCCCCGCGTTTTTTTTTTTTTTTTTTTGTGCTCTCCGCGATTTCTTCTGTTCGTCAGGTGTGCCGCGGGGGAACCGGCCCTGGTACAATAAGGAGTAGGGCACCGTCCCCGTGCCGGCGACGGAAACTTATACCCGTGCCACACGGGCAGAGAAAGTGCCATTTACACCCGAATGCCTGCAGATTTATTGCCATTCGCGCGGTGCCACACGAGCGAACGAAATGGCATTCGTCCAAATGCCATTCGCCACCAAATGCCTTCGCCAGAACTCAGTTGACTGAGAAATGCCTAGTCTAGACGACACAACTCGCGAAGTGCGATTTACCTTGACGTAAATAAAAGAAATCATATTTAGCTAAAAATCAAAATTCCCGTCTGTTATCTGCACTAAACTCTTAAAAAAGTGCTTTGAACGTTATACGAAGATTAGTTTGAAATGGTTTGAAATTAGTTGAAGTTTAATGTCCTGAAGCTGGCGCATAATAACTCGTCTCTGCTCCAGAATTATTCGCTCTTGGGCACGATGCTTTGCACGGAAACACATGAGTGCTGCCGTGAAAAAATGAACTCTGCGAACATCTTCTGAGAGATGCGACAGGTACGATGCGACAGGCGCCATTTTCTATTTATGCTGTGGATCTGACTATTGTTGGCTTAGGTTGCTACGGTCGGCTGCAACGTCGTAAAAGAAAGCAAGAAACTAAAACTCAGCGCAGCGTAATATGCTTATTTCTACATTTAATGTTTATCTGATGTGTATGATCCTTGTAAACGCTTGTTTATTTTTTTATTGCTATTCATCCAATGCTCACTTGGAAGGTGCTGCGATCGACATCAGCAACTCAAATGTCATTCGCTTTGGACGTGTAGCAGCGCCGGCGAAACGAATGTCATTCGGGAACTGAAGGCCTTCGCCACCGAATGTCATTTTCTATGCCCGTGTGGCACGGGTATTAGAGCATCGCTCTACGTCACCGTATCCCCGTTTTTAAAGAGAAAACGGGTCGTAAATCCTCTTCTCTGACAAAAACCGGTGACGTCATGGTGACGGGACGCGTCGTCCGACGGCTGTGAGAACGAGCCCTTAAAGCCGCTTTCACAGATCAGCTTACAGCTTCTTTCACCCATCTTACGAATGAACGGTTTCAGGTCGTCAAATTATACCCTTAAGTGGCTTGTTAGCTCACACCCACCCCAGCTGGCTATTTTACAGCGTTACGACTCGGCCATCGGCGCTGGTACCGTTAACCTTGAAAACGGTCAGTGAAACGGAGCCTCCCCGAGCGAAATGCAGCGGTGTCAGTTATGAGGCGCTGTGCCCATGGCTCCACCCCACAGACAACAGTGCACGTTCGAATTGCGCGACGAGTTCGAAGAATCATCACGGCTGAATGAGCGAGCATCACTGCTGCAGGCACATCATCCAGCTGAGAGATGGCCCGCACACGAGAATTCGGACAGCCGAAAAACAAAGATCGGCAAGAAGCACTTCGAAGGTCACCTGTCAGCTTCTCTTTCCTCCCACCTCAGTTGCAAGCTATCTCGGTACTTTGTTTTTGTAGCTCTCAGTTCGGTTGTCCTCAGTTCATCCACGTGCTCGCTTCTCTCCTGCATGGTCTAGTACTGTTTGTTTAGTTCTCTCACCCTCCTTTGCCTTCTCTGCCGCAGTAGTCAGGAGCCACACGTGGAGGCACCCGTATATCGACTGGCGCCATCTTAACCGCCTGACGGTTGCCTGTTTTTGTCTTTTCTTTTGTATTTTCACTACCCATTTCCACTCACTCTCTTACATTCAGTGGTGGTACATGGGTCGTCCGCTTTCACAATGCGGGAGATCTGGCGCGAGTCAGCGATTTGTTGTTCCGCGAAATGCACTGACGACTCCGTAGCCTCCGGCTGCACGCATGGTCGGCCGACTAGCAGCGGTATCTCCCTTCCCTCCCTCCCACAACCTCCCGACATGTCGAGTTAGCCTATTGTACCTCTCGTGAACTCTCCGCTGCGCTCGCTCAGCGCACAACTCTCCTTCTCGGCTTCTTTACAAGCATCTCCCTCCTTCCCGGGTGATTTCACTTCCGAGAGGGTTGTTGCACCGGACGCGGGCACTTTGAATCACCGTGTGCGTGGTTCGCTCTCCGGCCTGGGAAACACCGCCCGCTGCAAGCGTGTCGCTAGCCCCCACGGGCCGACCGCCCGCTTTACGGGTCTCGTTATAAAAAGCGGCTTTCCAACCCTGCCCGGCTACAATCCGCTGCTCAGTTCTCCAGGCAGCTGACACCACCACCACCATGAGCCGCCTGGTAAGCAGCGAATGCATTTCGTGCTCTCGAGTGCTCGATTGATGCTTGTGGGAGAATTGAGTTGAGGTCGACACACTGTTTAGCATGCGACCGATAATACGAGCTTACTTGTGTCAGCCCGGCTCTGATTTGTCGCCGACCGCAGGAAAGAGTCAAAGGCAGATGGGTAAAGCAGGAAAGGCAGAGGGGCTGCTGTGAATACGGGTTTAATTGGACGTTTGTATTTGATCTCTTAAGCTTCGCCAATAGTACACATTTGTCACTGGAAGAAGAATGCATCTCGTAGGTGAACTTTGGGACTGTTTATTTCCATCAAGAATTTGGGTAGCGTTGCTTGCTGTTGAACAGTAAGTGGCACATGCGAACAGTTCTTAATCCATTTATATCCTGAAGGTATATTCCAGACGTTTGGGCGAGTTTAGTTGAATGCGGTTACTATATGTTATTGCGGAAACTTTTTTCCGAAATTGCTTTCTTCTTTGTTTTGAAATTTAAGCATATGTGGTTTCACTATTGTTGCTCGGCATTAGAATAAATAAAATTGTTATAGAGAATTTTTCACGCAGCATTTAGAAAGGTGTCAAATAGAGGCAGTCATTGTCGAGTAGTTCAGGTGGCTATCGAGATTCTTTACTACAGTTACACATTTGGAAAATATGCCAAAAAATTGTGCTTAGAAAACGTGTTCATGAGCAAAATCGATGCAAATGAAGCTTCATGCAACAAGATTACCAATGAGTGCCTGTCATTTCATCTTTTGTATTCTAGGTTGCAGGGTTAAATTCATTTTTTTTAAAACTGCATGTCACTGTAAACACTGAGCGTAGCCACACTTCGCGTAAGCGCCGTCGACTTTTGTCAATACGGCATGACCAGTCGTCTTGACAGAAGCTTTTCCTATAGTTACATCGCTGCGCTAAATTGCTTTGTCGTTATGAGATCAATGATTCTTCTCTCGCTGCTCCCTCGGCTTCGGTACCGGGTTTGTTTATTGCGTCTTTCCGCCGGCCAGAGACTAGCAGGCGTTCACGTTCTCGCTCCAAAGTAAGCCATGCAAGCCACACTATTCGGGCTCAATGCGAGATAAATTCATAGTTTTCAGTGCTCCTTTCCTAGTCTGAAATTGTGCCAAAAGGATAACGAACCACATTAGCGTATCTTTATGCGGCAAACCTTAAAGCTGTCAGTCGTCAACGGAGTCGTCACAACGTTCTCCTAACTTTCACATTGTGCTTTTAAGCTCAATTGAAGTCCGCATGTTATGAGCTAAAATCACGACATTATTATAAGGTTTACTCTAGAGGAGAGGTCCGCATTACTTTGCCAACTGGCCATCTTTAATGAAAATTGACTTTAATTACTACTAAGCTCGAAGTTCTGCAGTCGTATATAAGGCATCGAGCTTGGTATCACTATGCTATAGGTATTGATGTGTAGCAAGTATGTAAGGGTGTTCTAGAGGCTTTACTAGGTAAGATGTTTTAGGTATATTCAAGAGCATTCTGCGGCTAATTGAGAGCCCACATAAACTGTACATTGATTTCTCTCTTCGATTAAGACCGACTTTCTGTTGTTGTTCTATAGCTGCCCTACGCCGTCTTGTTGGCCCTTCTGGGTTTTGCCCTGGCTGCCCCGGCCGAGGAAGCGACGCCGGCCGCTAAGGCTCCCGCTGAAGAGGCGAAGCCCGCTTCGGACGGTGACAAGGCGGTAGAGGGACGCACAGGCTTCTACCCAGGCTACGGCGTGGGAGCCTACGGTTCTGCCTTCAACCGCGGTGGAAGCTTTGGCCTGGGAAGTTACGGAAATTCTTACGGAAACGGTGGCTTTGGATATAACTACGGAGGATCCAACCGTCGTGACTACGGCCATGTGCAGACCTACGGAGATCGCGAGACCTTCGGCATTGCCCAGAATGCCGGCGCCAACCGCCGCTACGGACAGGGCAGCTTCGGAAACGTCTACAAGAACCAGGCTTTCGGAGCAGGAGGCAACCGCTACGGCGTGGGGTACCAGGGCGGATTCCTTGGCTAGCAAACCAAAGGTGTGAACAAACGCTACGGTTTCAGTGTTTCAAGGAATCGTACTTGTTTATCTCGTATGCTATTTAGTATTACAGAACTACTGTCACCGCGTATGGCTGCTGTATGCTACACAGATACTACTACTTGACATAAGAAAGGCTATCGTACAAACTGCTCCGATGGCACGCTTAGTCTTCATTTCTTGATTTGTCTTACAAATGAAATTTGGTGTGCTAATACAGACGCGAATAATTATTGTGCTTTGGAAGGAACGCTATGTGAAATGCGTGCAAGGCAAGTTAAAAGACAGTGCAGTTGACAGTGTGTTTAGTACCAGTCATAAAGTGAAAAAACTCATTCTTCCGCATATAATACTACCATTGTTAATGAATTACCCGAGGTTCTCTGTGCATCTATTTGTTCATTACTGCATCTATTTGTTCATTACTAACCATAGCGTATCTGCTCTTTTCTTTTTCAGAAATAACACGAATGCATTCAACTTTCATCGCTTCACTCTCGCCTGTTTATGCATTGCTTAAAAAGCAGTGGAATGACCATAATCAGAAAAAATAGGAACCATTTTGCTTGATAGATAATAAAAAAAAACACGAAGCATAGTATACATCACAACTGAAAAAAAAAAAGAACCATCTATGGACATGACAATGAATATTCCAAAGCGTTCAGTAAGATCACAGCCTTCTTGTCCCAGAAAACAAAAATGCCATGGATGAATTCAATAAAACACTATTTATTTTCAACAAATTCTGGTGTTTTGCAAGTTCTTTTTCTTGAATGGTCAAGCTCGGCTACATTTTAAGTTTTTTTGAGACATTATTACCTAATAGCACTACTATGATTACAATATTAGCTACTTTAGATATTTCAATGTAGTCTCGTGAATAAATGCACAAATACATTCAAAGTAATGGTCCTGATCGTGTAAGTAACGTAGCCAGCATTTTCGTCTGAATTGATAGAACACACGAAGCAGTAACTACGCAGTAATTAATTCGCGTGTCCTTAGTATTGTGAAAGGCTTAACAGGTGGAGGTGCAAAAGTTTACAGTGATGCAAGACATGCGTTCGGTAATCCAGGATAATACAGGTGATGGAATGCTTGCTCGTGGACATCAGACTTACTTTTGCGTCAGCGACAGACATAAAAATTGCTAGACATGATTTATGGCAGTGATTAAACAAAGTTAAACAAAGTACATATAATTAATTCTTATATAGGGCAGAAAAGCAGATGGGTTGGGTCAAATGCTGTGAACAGCTCATTAATGCTTTGAAATTCCCACTGTTAACTTTAGCAGAGTAATAAGATTTGTTCATTTCTTTCAAGCAAATTAGAAACTGAGAAAAGCTACTTCTATGTTTCTCGTGGTGTCAAGAGTGATCGAGCTTTGCTATATAAGCCATCGTTTGACTTAATTCACTTCGCCTGTGCTGGGGCTGCGCTTGGCTATACGCGTATAATAGGCACGGCCCACGTAAGCTGACGTGACCGTACCGCAATTGTTGTCGTGAATCCTGATGCCATACTGGCCATCTGCTAGTTGTACTCATATACACTTTGGTTTGTGTTTCGTCGACGAAATGTGGTAGAATAATAATTACTCCGTAATAATTAGTAGACATTAAAAATGTCACTGTGGGAATGGGCTCTTCGCAAAAAACGCTTCAATTTTCTCATTGAAATCAAGCTCCCATCTAGCCTGTTTCAAAGGTTATATATTTCATTTCCCGAATTGCTACCGTAATTGATCACTCAAGATATATTAAGATGTTACAGCTACTTATAAAGTCATCATGAAAGCAGCAAACGAACAACTCATTGCAGTTGTGAACACCTTCAGACACCTTTTTTATTTCATTTTATTTATTTCAATACTCCCAGCAACATTATGGTCGCCAAGGCACAAGGGGTTACAGTGCAGAGAACGTTTAGACTATTTACAGAACGTTATCATCTTACAAGTAAAAGGTAATAGAAAACAAACATAAATGAGATAATAACTTAGCAGTAAAATCTGACTTACTGATTGCAAATAAAGGACCAAACCACTAAAAAACACGACAATGAACATTTACAATAAGTGATCATTATTTATTAAAGAACATACCCAGTGATCACATGTAGGAAACAATAGCCGGCAAAAAAGAATCAGACATTGGCATGTTTTCCAGCTCATGTGATAGCCCGTTCCACTCAGTGATTGTTCTTGAAAAAAAAAAGCCTTGTACGCATTTGTTTTACATTGAGGTACCAAAATGAGCTTGCTGTGTTTTGTCCGGGTAGGTCATGACCTGTTGAATTCCATGCACGCCTGGAAGTCTAGTTTATTGTGGCTGTTGACGATGTTGAACGTCATGTTCCGACGGTGGAACTTCCTCCGTAATTTGAGAGGGTAATGACCAGATTGCATGTAAAGACCTGTTATCAACACATTCCTACTATATTTATTGCAAATAAAACAAAGTGCTTTTCTATGAATACACTCTATGCGATTGATCTTCATTTTAGTGTTTGAATCCCAGACCATATCTCCGTACTCGAGTAAAGAACGCATGAGGGATGAGTATGCAAATAACTTTGTATTACTGGTGCAGTGTTTTAATCGATGCCTGAGCAACCAGAGCCGTTTTGAAGCATTAGTTACAATATTTGTAATGTGCGTGTTCCAGTTGAACGTAGAATCAATAGTTCAACCCAAGTATTTGAACTGATCACCACGGGTGACTAGGTTAATGCTCACATTGTACGCTTAGGGAAGCGGGGATTTTTTACGCGTTATTAACATCTGAGTGCAATTCGCAGAATTGAAAATCATCTCCCACATATGATACCAATTAGTTACAGCCATTAATTTGCTGTTATATGCGGCTTGGTCCTCAGTTGTCTCAATATTGTTATAGACAATGCAGTCATTTGCAAAAAGAAAAGCAGCTGCGTACAGGAGAGTCAAAAGCCAAGTAATTCGGATATACAAGTAAAGGAAGGGGCCCCAGGACCGAAACTTTACGTAGACCAGAAAACGCTGGTGCTGCTTTAAACTGCATTTGCTACTTGGACGTATTGATGGTGGCGCGATAGATAACAGTCGAGCCACTTTACAAGTTGAATGTTGTTTAAAGGGCTTCTAAGTTTCGTCATAAAGTAGTATGAAATAATAGTTGTTGGGGTTAATCATATCCCAAAAGCACCACATGATTTCGGACACATTTTGTGTAACATGCATTATATCGGCAACTTTGTCAACTTATTAAGATTCACACGTTACATGCGGCCATATATGCTAACCAATCAGACCTGCACTTACCAGCACGAATGGCCAAAGTAAATATACATCTGTATATTTCAAATTGATTATTTAATTATTTTATGCCAAAACTCCTCATCGTCTTGGGCAATTCCGCGTCCTTCGGGCGGCGTTGCCAGCCCAGTATATCAACAGACAGACAAACGAATAGACAGACGGACAAATAAACGGACAAACAGAGGAACGGCCGCTTCGCCCCACTCATCATCATTTATTCCGGGAATATGATGTGATTTTTTCACACAAAAAACTCTAACCTTTATTGAACGTTTAGCGGGTTTTAAAATGGGCTTCTTTAACGAAGGTTCCGCAGTCAACCTTTTTTTAGGGGTGAGCTCCACAGGGTGTGAGTCTGTCCATCCTCCCATGGTGTGTGTAGCCACCGGTGGCACATACCCGAAAAAGTGGTCCTTAGAATGTCCGCTGGATGGCGGCACTTGTATATGAAGAATACGCGATGAAAAGATGTGAGATGGCTGTACTTGGAGTGTTCATTAGATTGAATGGACATATAGATACACGGAAGGACTGACGGACGCATAGACAGACAGAGGGGAGGACGCAAGGACGGACGGAAGGAGAGACGGAAGAACGGACGTACGGATGGATGAATAGAGGGGCGCACGGAAGGACGGATGCACCGACGATCACACGGATGGATGGACACACGGACGGACAAACGGATGGTGGCATGGACGGACGGAAGCAAGAACGAATGGGCGGACGAAAGCACAGACAGACTGACGAACGCTTCAACCCACCAAACATCATTCACTCTGTGAATATGCTGTGATTTTTTATCATAAGGAGGCCGTTGTTGGCAATATTGCCAATTGTGGCCTTGGAGTTGGCATTATTGACACCGCAGTCACTGAAACAACCCGCAGTTTAGTAAATGTTTGTGTCACTAAAGTAAAGTCAGCTTGTGTGGCTGGAGCAGTGTTCTGCTTACTTTTATTCTTGAACTAAAGTTTTAACATGCATAAAAAGGTACGGAGCATCTTAATTTGTAGAAGACGTATAGGTTAGTGCATAAGCTTATTCATCAAAATTCTTTGCTTGAAACTTTACATTTAAAAGGAGGGCGTTACCAAGTTACAGTTCATTGGCCAAATGCAAGAAATTATAGACGTCAAGGCGAGTAATGGATTGCAACTGTCGCTGCGTTAACTGGTGAACTTCAGCAAGGCTTTTGAAAGAGTTACCAATGCCGAAGAAAGTATACCCTGTGCCTCACTGTGCCATGAAATGGCAGAAGCTGCTTTATAAGACGTACGAAGCAGTCAAATGAACCCCGTATAATTTCTTACATGTTTCAGGTCTAAGGGACACGTAAATTATATAGTGGATATTAGTTTTCGCTCTCTATGACATACAGAAATTTATAGTTCGTTCATATAAAGCACATGATGTAACCAATTTTTATATGAATCGCTTATACAGACGCTTCACAGGGTGAAGCTTTTTTGCAGATGCACTCGTACTACGCATCTATTGGGAGAGAACACATTTCTGCGACGTAAACAAGTGGTTCTGTTCCAGGATATATGCAAACGAGTCCCAAGAAAATATAATTAGGCTATATGTAGTGTAGCACATGCTTGTGCTCTTTAGTTAGCGGCTCATAAACTCACGCTCTACATGACACCATGGTCAAAGATTGTTCGAGCTTCACCGCCTTAGCCTTATGCTGCGTTTGCTAAAACCATACAAGTGCTAAATATCAACGCGTACAAAACACCAAGATGAAGAAAGTGAATACATGACATATATCAACGCTTAATAGATTAGGCCCAATACACTTTCATCTCAGTAACTTTTACCATAGGTTAGCGAAATCCCAACTATTCCATACTCTGTAAGTAGTAGGTAACGAGTAGTTACGTAAGTTGTAACAAGTCGAATATCCGCTACATTGTAACTATTCTATATGATGATATTACAGAGGTTTTCCTGTAGCCTATTATATTAAAAAAATGAATATAACCTCTAATTTATGGTGCGTTTAGGGGCAAACATCTTTTTGTTTTGGTCCACTCTATAACTAACTTATATGCTGTCTCCACACAAAAGTTACTCAATTTTACACACACACAAAAAAGCGCCAGGCCTTTGCGGAGCAGGCAGTACAGTGACAGCGAAAGCTGGAAGAGCGGCCTTTCGGAGCCTTTTACAAACACTCTCTTTGGGTAACTGCTACAAGCACACTACGCTAGAAATAATCATAACTTTTCTGCGGTTGCCCAGCATTCACTATACTATACGTCATTATTCGAAGAAGCATGGTATCCGCTACACACTTGCAGGCAACTTCGTGCAATATTTTATGCAGTGGCTAACCACGATGAAAATATATGCCTGAGGCAGGTATGCGCCCCAGTCAAAAGAATATCAAGGACAAGTTTTTATCTGCACTGATATGATAGAAAAAGTAACTAC